CCATAATCAAGGTCTAGAGACGCCCCGGTTGTATCATAAGTGGCGAGTCTATACTCGTCGGCGGCGGGGTTTTGGCAGCGAGGAGTCCAACGGCGAGACAGTTGTGTCCGCATAAGAGTATTACTGTATACTACCCACGATTTAAAATCTTAAATCGTCATGCTACCCATATGAATTATAGATTATATTATCTATGGATATACCATAGAGACATTGAGTAGAGAGCCTATGCATATAATAAAATATATTATATATTATATAGACTCTACTACAGATTATAAACTCCATAGATCTATAAACCGCGATTTTAGGTATATTTTAAACCGTGCTATAAACTTAGTTTATTTTATCATTAAATTTGTATAACTATGTCTTGAACTCTTAAATCACGCATCTTTGTTACTTTGTTAATAGTGTCGAAACCACGTATTAAGATTTAATGTACACAGGATATCGAACGGAAAGGTCTTATTCATAAACATGATAATATATTTTTGTAGGTTTATGGTCTTATTAATGTTTTTCTGAGTCCGCCCGGTTCTCACTGTTTGGCACATATATAGGCCTTATCCTAAGCCTATACTATACCTTAGTGTATGGTCTATAGTTTTGCATTACAACTAGCGCTGTAAGGCAAAATCGGTATAAAAATCAACTAAAACCAGTTTAAAGTTTAGACTGAAGGAGTAGGGTGTGTAATAAATTGCATATCTATAAATATTGACATAGCTTCTAAAGAGTATACCAGATGGTGTTAGTGGCTTTGTCAAAGGTCCGAGCTTCAGTTATCGTTCGGTATCCTGTAAATCTTAATTTGTGGTCGAAACGAACAAAAGGCGTGAAAAATGAAACCGTTCTCATTGTGAACTCTCGAATCTTCCGCGAGACTAATGAAAATTCGTCACTTCGTGTTTGTCAATCGTCCATCGCTAATCCCTGTCATTTTTCATTGAGATTCTTTACTAAGTAGTCTGTGTTAAAATCCCGTTCTAATTTTATTTACACACTTATAGACATATTGTAGTTTGAGAGTAAAAGTCGCGTTAAAATGGACGATTGGTTTCATTGCAACTCGTGTTTCCTTCAGCCCGACGAAAACAACCAAAACAGACAACAGTTTTACTTGACCAGTTGCGGTCACATATTTTGCGAACATTGCGGCTGTTTTACGGAAAGTAAGTTATTGAATTTGGTTTTATTACTATGATGGTTTTTACCGTTCTTGAACAACCTAAAATCTTGCTCTGATCATCAGTGAGTGGAGGTTTCTAGGAAGTCATTTTTTTTTTTCAAATTTTTTGTTATTTTGTGAGTAAAACCACGGAAAACCGGAATATTTACGCAATATCGGTTTCTGTAACGTTTAAGTATTTTCTATTTTATTTTAGATTCGGAGAGAAACAAGGAATATATTGGTTTTACAATGTTTTTTGTTCTTCTAATTTTTTTTCTATAAACAACTTTTGTACCAGAAATCTTGCTCCGATCTTCAAGTGTAGTAACTTTTCTGAAACAAAATTGTATCTGGGGGATATTTTGTGTAAATCCTTTGTGGAAAAAATTGTGAGACTAAACGGATATGCGTGAAAATCTGACAGTTTTATTTATAAGTGTTTGTGGCCCAAAAAGAAAAAATTGAGTTTATGTATTTTGTTTTTTTTTTTATAAGAATTTTAGTATCAAATTTTAACAAAATCGTAAATATTACGGCTTTTCAGTACACCTGTAACCAAAATCCGCTCCAAATCGTTTGTCGTTACTCGTTAGCAATGATTTATCGTCAACAGATATGAATTAAATAACTTTAGGTATCCTGCCTACCTTGCCTACTTCCCAACTACAACAGTGACGTCACCCGTCACAAGTATCGGTTCATTTATTTTTCTTGTACACTCATACTGACTTAAATTTATGAAAAAAATGTCGTTATCGAAAATCAAACCACCAGTCGATCTGATCGATGTATTTCCAACGATTTGAAAAATCAAATCGTTTTAAATCGTGTCTACGTGTTCCAGCCGATTTTTGACAACTTTGCGCTACTACGTCGTCTCGGTTGGTGTAAAATACGGGCGTAGCAGGAACGCTACTACACTCGGGACACGTATTACGGAATATTATTGTAATCCAAACGAACGAAATAATTTCCATCGGCCATATGCCCCATTGTTGTTGCGTAATTATTTACGTGTACCGATAAACCGTGCGCGCCGGCGGTAGATAACGCGTTTCCGTTACGTATGCCCGCGCGGCGGGAGCGGAGCGTGCGGTTTTAGAACGCTGGCCGCTGTGGTCATGACGAGCGCCGGCGCACGGCGGCCGCGAATGTCAAACTCGTTAAATTTTACCAAAAAAACGTGCGTTGTCGGTGTTTCGCCAACGATATCGGTAATTATTTATCGACCCGTGTACGAGCCGCGCTCATAGCGAAGAGAAGATGCTCAAATGAGAAACCGTACACCAACCATGCGCCCCAACCATCGCCCGCTGTTCGCTCGTACGACTCGTATATGCGACGGCGAATCGTTGCGTTATTATGACCTTTGTCGACGACTTTGTTATTACAGTTTAAAAATAGCTGTTGACAATAATCCATTGTATCCCCGAACAAAAACAATCATATTTACTCGATAACGTCGATTATAAATATTGAGAATTTCTCGTGGTTATAATGGTAATGGCTTATAAACACTATAGACATAGAATTATAATTGTGACCACTACTGTAATACCATCGAAATAGCAAACTGACGGGTACTGCTCGGTGCGTAATTCAAATTCCTAAACGGTGAATAATGGGGCTCGGGATTTATCGCACTTGGAATCCGCAAAAAAGCACTTTAAAAAGCGAAAATGGTTGAAGGGTTTAAATGTCCGTCCTATAATCGCTCCACTTATTATATACAGTTTTCTAATGTTGGGTTGTCATGGGCAAATTCTTATTCGTACTGACACGGTCAAAACCAAAAATTAATATAGGTAAAAAAAAAAATAAGTAAATACAAATTGGCACGGGCGGGACAGTTTGTATGTAATATTATGTATCAGATATATTATTAACTATAGGTAGTTAATTAATTTGTCTATGTTATATACAAATGTTTTGTATCATTGGTACTTTAATAACAAATTGAATGTCACCTATGACTTTTAACGATTAATTTTCTAAATTTTATTTATACCTTTTTTTCTAATCTTTATTCTTTTGACTCTTGAGTGAATTCAACTAACATTCTTACAATTTATCAAATATATAAATTGCTAGTAAATAGGTAGGTACATATTTAAAATATTTATAAATTACAATGTACAATAAAATATTACGTATATCTATTAAAATTTGATTTATTTATGACAATTTTATAGAGAGCCGCTTGTAATATTACCCCTCCCTCCGGACCATCACAGAGAGATAGTCAAACCCTGTATGGAATTTGGTTATTTTTGAGTAATTATACAGTTTAACTAGAGTCTATAGTTGAATCGTGATTTTCCAATGAAAATCAAAAAATCCATATTAATCGTTTAAAATATAGTTTATATTTCTATGACTTTTTAAAACTATTATAAAAAGTTTTTTTAGGATTTTTCATTATTAAAAACGACTGCCCCTATTTCAAATAGAAAATAACCATAATATAAGATTTAATATTAATACAGACTTAGACATAACTATTAAATACCCAAAATAACATTTACGTTAATTCAGTTTTAGAAGAATTATACACCTACACAATGAAATAAAGAAAAATATTAATAATATTTTATATCAACACATTTTAGACAATAAATAATAACCAAACAATTTGTATTTCTTAAAATATCTATGTCTAATAATAACTTATTTTAAATAAATTATTTCTATGTAAAACGACCAATTTGTCCGAACCGGTCGTACAATACACATTTAATAATACTTCAGGTACGTCGCCAAACTTAACCTAACCTGGTCACAAGATGCGTCATTCATTTATTTATTTATTTATTTATGTATTTATTTACGAGTATTAACCATTTAATAATTTTGTTTTTACTTTATTATTTTATTAGGTACTAAATGTTTGGTATGGTAAATTATCATTATTTATTATTGAAATAAACACATTTTTTTTTATAGAACCAAATAAATATCATAAATTATTTATCTAATAGGTCACAATAAAACTTCCTACATTATAATAATTTATTATAAGTAGGTAATAATTATTAACAGTTGTTAAATCAAACTAAATTTTCATAATGTTATTACAGTATTATTTAATATAAGAGTATAATACTATAAGATAAAGATTTAATATTATAGCCAAATTAATAAATTATACTGTAATATAAATAATTTATTTTCAGGTACTTCAGATCGTTGCAAACTATGTAAAACTAAATGTTTATCAACTAAAATAGGAGATGAAGTAAATATGTATTACACGTATTTTAATGCAAAATTATATATTTTTATTGTTACCTAATTGACTGAATTATTTGACATTTAATTTTTTAATACTACTTGATCATAATATTTTAGGAATTTAAAAAGAACAAGGACATTCAGGAATATTTCCAAAAACCAATAGAGACTGGTGAAAGATTGCTCAACGTGTTGAAATTCCAAAAATCGCATACTAGTAAACTAATTAAACATCACCAGCTCATAGTAATTATATTTTTTTAAATTTAATGTTATTTTATAAATACTTGTAAAAAACGATGAGTTAAATCTTTATTTATACTTGCTTATAATTTTTAGATAACAAAATACAATAGGGCAAAATTATATATAAAGAAACTCGAAAGTGAATTAAAAAATGCTAAAAGGTATCTAAGTTAATATTATTATATTTATATATTTTGTATAATATTTTGTATCAATTGTTTTAAGAGCACTGAAGAATACACCACAAAATCATAATTTTACGGAATCTTGTTCAAGTTCTGTGTTAGAATTTGATGCGACTCCTTTTAAGATGATACACGCTGGAGTAGAAGAACAGAATACACGACAGGTTGCGAAATGCAATTTTTGTGGCCGCAGTTGACTCCCGGATAAACTGACCCAGCAACATTATTAATCTTCTCGGACAAATTATTCACAGACTTTCCGGCGGGGCGCGTTGAATTTTTCTTTTTTGTCCGTTTTTTTTGAACCTTAATCTTATCGGCGATCGGAGTCTTATCACTATTCATTATATTATTTATTTAATTATATTTATTTTTATTTAATATTATAATTATATTATGTTTTTGTATTTTTAATATACACTATTGACGTTGTTATAAGTAGTAACGAGTTATTTGATTCTTGTTGATTCATTTCGATTTCAAATGTTTATAGTGGTTAACTACTATTAATAAATATGGCTATTTAATTATTGGTATTTTAGTAATTCATTTTATTCTGATTCGAGTAAAATGAATATATAAAATAATGGTGGACAAAATGTAAAGACTGCGGATAAATGGGGACAGTTTATACGTGGTTAGGCTATGTGTAAACTGCGGTAAAATATTTCTTTTTTTTAAAGTCGATATGTAAACTGTGGCAAAAGAAAATTTAAGATTATATAAACTGCGTCAATTTATTTGATATACTTATTAAGTATTAACTATATATACTACTAACTGTACTGGTCATGCGTTTCTGCGTGTCTGATTTTTATAAATAAATAAGATATGAAAATATATTGAAGCCCCTAAATTTAATGAAATAGTATTTTTTACTGTACTATTTGAGTACTTTAGTAATGGTCAATATTTGGGTACAAGATACATAATAAATTTCCCCTGTACCTTCCCAACTTCTCACCTACGGGAAAAGTATGTCCGTCTTTATATACATATTATTACAGTTTATTTTCTTCATCTTTGTTACCAAGAAAACGTATCATAAATTAACAAAAATAATTCGATTTTTGTACTAAAAATACTTTAAAACCGTATTTTAAGAAACAATGGGTTACTTAATCGGGATGAAAACTATCCTATATTTAAGTTGGACCAAATCACACACATGAGCATAATCTTATCAAAATCGGTTGTGTAACTACACAGCCGCATTAAAGTGCGTTGCTTGCAAACCCGTTGTACGCTTAATTTGTATATAATACATGTAAATTCGTACAAAAATTATATTTTTATCTGAACTTAAAACATAGTGTAAACTCCTACATAGTCCCTTTTAACCTGCCCAAAATAGATGGTGTAATCTCCTACCCAGACCTTTCTATATTTTTATGTTTGGGTTAGGTAATGGCTTATTTCATATTGCAACATTTCTTACATACCTACTACGGTAGGTCCTTTTAGTTTGTATATATTATATGTTTTCATTATTTTAAAGATAATATATTAAAATCATCATTTAAANATCAACAGCAACCACACTAAAAAGATAGACTCTCAACTAAACAGTTATGTGAATCATAACAAGCATTATTATTTAAATAATGAATAATTTTCTACATGTGTGCTTTGTGTTGTTTGTAGAGTTTGTGGTATGTTAGTTCACCGGTATTTGGTTTGTGTTGACATACCAGTTTTATTTTTTGATTTATCATTATTTTTCAGTAAATACTGTAAAATTAGTAAATACTATAAATTATATAAACCATGTGTGTGGTTATCAGGTTACCATAGTACAAAAAATAATTGAAAATATTCTGCAGTAGATCAAATGGTGGTTACTGAAACAGTAGTATACTGGTATTTGAAAATACCAGTGATTCACCGGTATACTGAAAATACTGCCAGCTCTAGTTGGATGGTAACCAAATTATTAAATATTCTAATCTAACACGTACCGAAATAAAAATGTTTGTGTGACTTAACACTGCTAGGTCCTCAGTTTATGTTATGAGTAGGACAACATTTTGTACCGTATTTATGATATAAGTATAGAACTAAGTATCAAATATTTATAATACATAACACATGGTATTTGAATATCATATTTTATTTTTAAGCCAACATATTAAATACAATAATAAATAGGTGGTAAATGGAAAGGTACATAAAGTAATTTATTTTATATATGTTAACAACAATTAACCATTGCCAATCAAATATGATTTTGAGAAAAGTTCAGTTATTCTTGTTTTGAAGTATAATATTTATGATTTTTATTAAAATTTGATCTTAAAACAATTTTTAAAAAAAACTACTACTTTACGCTCATCATTTTTTATTTTTTTTTTTTTAACATTTAGTGCTACTTATAATGGACCACTCCGTGTTAAATTTTTAAGCATTTGTTGTTACTCAAATAATTTTATCCACAGAATATCTTCAAAATAAAAACTATGTAAAACAAAATTTGCAAATAAAAAATGCCTATAAATAGTTCAAAAATAGTATGAAAATTGTATTATGTTTATTCAAAGGTAATTTAAGTATTCGGTGAAAATGATAGCTCTACAATTATTTTTAAGTAATTTACAAAAAAAAAAATCAAATTTGAAAATATCAAAACCAATAATGCTGTAAGCTTTTCCCATATTTTCTACATTTTTTCCCAATTGTAATGAAAACTGTTTAGAAAATTAAAAAATACCTCCTCTATGTACTAACTACATTTAACTAATTTTGGATCAAAATAAAACAAAAAGAAATTTCTTTTAATTTTTTGATTGGAACAAGATTTCTAATAGTTGCTGATAGTCGCAGAAAAAAAAAAATTTAAAAGAAAATATACATGTATAAAACCAATATGGTCTTCACTCTGCTCAGAATCTAAAAGTATGTAGTTATTTTCTAATTTTCAGTAGGGAAGTAACCTTATAAAATTATCAAAATAAAATGTAAATACATTTTTAAATTGCTTTTATATTTTTATTTATAATAAATAACTAACTGTTTAATAAATATTTGAGATGAAGGTGAAGGAGAAGAAGAGAACGTTAGTTTAATGAGTTAGCGTATTTGAGAAACTTGCTTAGCTTTGCTATCTATCCTGTTTTCAAGCTCACCATCAAAATATAATTATTTTAATAAAATAAATTTTGAAATTGAATATTAACGTGTATGATGGAGAGTCCAAAAAAAAAAAAAAAGGTACAAATGAAATATGAATTCTTTTTTTTATACCCACACATTTTACTCGAGATGGTATGTATTTTATTGAAGTACACTTAAATATTTAAATATTTGGACCCGACAGCTGACATACGCTAGTCAATCTGTTCAAGAATTCATTGAGATTATAATATTTGTTGTTTCGGATTTGAAGCGTAGCGAGGAATCTATCGGTTTTATTATGGTGTATTACTTTTTGACCAGAAATCTTGCTCCAATTGAAAAATGACAAGATCCTTTTTTTGAATTTCGTATTTTGTTGGTGCATTTTTTAATTTTCCAATCAGTTTTCATAATAATTAAGAAAACCCAAAAACTATGTAAAATGTAAACTCACAAATGTATTAAATGATTAGTACATTAATCGTAGTTTGTGGCAGAGAAAATGAGTTATAAAATTACTCTATTTTATAATTTTAATTTAGTTTACAATGATTTTATAAATAATAATGTTACTTGTTAAGTATATAACTAAAATATTATTACAATATTCTGTAATATAAAATAATAAAAATTGATATTGTTGGAGTTAATGTTAAAATAGTTTAAACAAATTTAAAATGATCTGTTCTTTTATATATAATAAATATAAGATGACTATTATTTACAATCTGGGATAAAATTGTCATACAATCAGTTACCAGTTATAGTTATATTTACAACCTGTACTTGAATTTTCAATTAGGTAATTTAAGATAAATCTAAAAAATGATTAAATAATAATTTACTAATATAAAAGTTCTCTCTGAAACTTTCATGTATACCATGATTTTTAACTAAATTGCAAAAAATAAAATCATGAGGGTTATTTTTTCGTGGGGATATTTTTCTGCGGTTAATTTTTTTTTTGAGGTTATTTACTAAACGAATCATTTACACCATATATAGAAGTAG